AATCCTTTTGCTTTTAAATGAATAAATAAGAAACACCCTCGGTCTGTAGCCCTTGGCTGGAAAGTGATTTTGCGCAACTTATCAGATCGTGCGCTTTGAGTGGCGCCACCGTCTTTTAAATCAAACTGTAGTCGTTAATTTTAAAACATTTTTTTTAAATATTTCTAATGGTGATTGAACCATGAAACTTTTTATGTAGCGTAATTATAACCTAAATTAGCTGAAAATAACCCTAGAGCCCAGAGTAAACTCTCCCTTTAAGTAATTGTATTTCTTGTTATACCACCATATCGTAAAATATCGATATCCGGAAGTTGTATCGCGATATATCGAGTTTTCAAAATATATTGCAATATACCGATATACCGGTATATCGTTACACCCCTACTGCGTATATATTACTTTATTATATTATCTTTATACATAGAGCGTTTTTACAGCAATTTATTTAAAAGCAGCAGCAGGAGTTTTTTGCCGTTTGTTCATGTGTGCCACTGGCACTGGCACTGTGGTGAGGGCTGGGTGAACTTTGTCGTTACGGTCGGTCGTTGTCGCTGCAGTGTGGCTGCGCCAGTCGCCGCGACTTTGTCGTTTGTGGTTACGGTCGGTCGCTGTCGCTGCAGTGTGGCTGCGCCAGTCGCCGCGACTTTGTCGTTTGTGGTTACGGTCGGTCGCTGTCGCTGCAGTGTGTCTTGGCCTTTACTGGGGTCTGCGTCGGCTCGGACTAATGCACCCCTACCACTACAATCTCCCACTGCCATTGTCATTGTCAGTATCAGGAACTAGGTAGAGTAAATTGCTTTCTATATAAGCAGGGATTGTCTAGTATAGGGGTATTCTAACCCTAGCAATACCGTTTGTTGGAGCTATCACTCAGCGTGATACAATTGTATGCACACCTACGAATACTTCTATTAGTATTACTACAAGTACATGTTACAATAATTACTAGTAGTAGTAGTAGTAGTAGTAACCTGGATAAACAGCTTCTGCAAAACTACACACCGATTAACTTAACGAGCAACGTGAGTAAGTTATTTATGGGAATTATTAGAGATCGTCTGGAAAAAATGTTAGAAGACTCAAATATTTTGGGAGAGTTACAGAATGGATTCAGGAGGGATCGGCGCACGGGGGATAATATATTTATAATAATGCAATGCATTCAGCAGGCGAAACATGCAAGAAATCCATTATACCTTGCATTCTTGGACTTTAAGAAAGCTTATGACTGGGTGGATAGGAATAAATTACTAAGGGAACTAAGAAGAATAGGTTTGGGTAATGGGTTCGTTAAGCTAGTGGAGTCTATGTACAAGAACAATGAATCAAAGATAAGGCTGGGACTGTTTGAATCGGATTGGATAGCATCTAATGTAGGTCTGAAGCAGGGTTGCCTTTTATCACCAATCCTGTTCGCATTGTTTATCAATGAATTGTCTACTAGGCTCGTAACAAATGCAAATGGATTATGCATTGGAGGAGATAGCTTTCCAGGGATGTTATACACGGATGATGTGGTTCTGCTAGCATAGAATAGGAGTAAAATGGAAAGTATGTTGAGCATTGCCGGAGACTTTGCAGAAAATTTTGGAATGGTTTTTGGAGAAAAGAAATCCCAAATCATGATTCTCAATAAGCCGATAGAGGAGCAACAGGGTGTCTGGAAACTGGGGGCAATGAATTTGCAGCAAGTATCTGAATACACTTACCTGGGGGTAAAGCTTAGTGACAATATCGAAAACTGCTTACAACAGCATGAGGATGATATACGGAAAAAACAAGAAAATACAGGGGAGCAATAGCTTCAAAGGCATTCTATAGTTTCAATAGATATTGGGTGGGTAGGGAGCTTTGGAAAGCAGTTGCAGTGCCTGCGCTGACGTATACAAATGAAGCCCTAGTATTTAAAGTTAAAAAACGAGGAACGTCCACGCTCCAGGCACTAGACAGGACGCAAAACCAGCTGGGAAGGGAGTTACTAGGGGCACCCTCGTAGGTGGGACTGGAGAGTATTAGAGGGGAGATGGGATGGTCAACTTTTGAAGAGAGAGAGGCGAAAAGTAAAATTAAATATTGGGGCAGGATAAAATATATGAATAATGAATGTAAATGTAAACAGATAGCAGAAGCAATGGAATTGGGCAAATTCAGATCAGACTGGCGGAGGAGAACTAGGTTCCTCATAACAAAGTTTGACTCGGATAGGAGTCTAGACGAAGGTTTAACGGGGGCAGGGGTATTAAAGAATGGAATGTTAGAGTGGAAAGAGCAATTAAATAGAGTGGTACTACCGTCTGGAAAAAAAGGATAGAAAACAAGAGTTCGCTAGGTATGTATAAAGAAAAAAAGATGCCTGGTAAAGAGTCCTTTTATGATAAGTCTTGGGAGTAGCCTGCTGTTTGAATGCAGGGCGGGTTGCTTGCCACTGAATAAACGAACTAGACACTGGGGAGGCGAAGATAAATGTTTAATTTGTGGGAGAGGAGAGTTGGAGACCCTGGAGCACTTTTTACTGGAATGTCCTGGATATGAAAACCATAGAAAAAGTATTTTTTAATATGATTAAACGTACTAGAACAGGTTTGGAGACAACAGAAACCTCACATGACATGCAGGAGGAGCTCTTGAAATCTCTCCTGGGTTTTAGGGTCGGCAACAGCCTTATTGGTAATATTACTATAGTTCAGCTTACTAAACAGTACCTGGAGATACTTTGGGGAGCTAGATCAGCTGCACTCACAAACCTATAAGGGGACACGTAATGAATTTTCTCTTTCCTTTTTTTAATTCTTTGCAGGGAAATACCGATCTAAAGGTTCCCAGTTATACATACATACATACAGTACTAGTATTAGTATTAGCACTACTGCCACTACTCACTAGTACTAGTACTAGTAACTACTACTAGACTACTATAGCTCCAACAAACGGTATTGCTAGGGTTAGAATACCCTATATTGACGTTAGTCACACAGCCTGGTCGGGTTACTAGACCAAGTACTAGTACTACTACTACTAGTTACTACTATAGTACTACAGCTACTAGTACTACTAATAATACTATATAGTATAGTACTAGAGCTAGTACTACTACTAGCTCCAAGAAACGGTCTTTGCTAAGGTTAGAAGACCTGTGTAAACACAATTTGTTGTGTAGTCGAGTAAACAACAGTTTATGGGGACACGACCATCTCTGTTGACCTGTGACGCAAGCATTCCCAATACGCATAGCGAGCGCTGACGTGTTAACGGGAAAAATAATCGCGAATGCTATGTATATAGCCTCGTTGCGCCATCTATCACACGCCATATGTACTGCACTGATGTACACTGATGTCAACAAAAAAGTCAAACTCGGTTTTTTACAGGAAACAGCGCGCCGAGTAGCCAAAAATTTTGTACGTGCACTTCGAGGAAATGTCTAGCTACCTGGGTAGTGAAACCCGTTGTGCAATGGGCAGAACTGCTCAATGGACCGATTGCAGAGTTTCTGCGTATATAGTGGACCTGTAACGTAGTAACGTGGAATAGGTGCAGCGTAGTTGTGTTAGTGTGCCACTACGCGGCGTTTTTCCCACTTCGCGCGGATATCCGGGCTGCCAATTGTCCAGAATAAACTATGGTAGATGATAGTAATAGCGCAAACTGACGGGAACACTTCACGGAAGCCTATGTAGGTTACAGATCAAATATTATTATTATTATTATTTTTTTTTTAATTTTTAATTTTTTACTTTTTTATTTTAATGTCTTTTATCTTTGCTTACTTTTAATTTCTTATTTTTTTTTATTGTTTGGGATTAGATGGCATGCGATGGCATGGCATGAGATGGGATGGGATGCGGTGTGATGGGATGGCATGGCATCAGATGTCATTGGATGGCATGGGATGCGATGAGATGGGATGGGATGGGATATGGGATGGGATGGCATGGAATGGGATGGATGGATGGATGCATAGATAGATAGATAGTTAGATTTTTGGGGGTATTTTCCTTTCAACCAAGCGGTCATTAACAGAGTAACGGCACAGATTTCCCCGGGCAACGCCGGGTATCCCGCTACCTTTTTTATTTTAATGTCTTTTATCTTTTCATTTCTTATTATTTTTTACTGTTTGGCATGGGATGGCATGGCATGGCATGGGATGGGATGGGATGGGATAGCATGGGATGGGATGGAATGCGGTGGGATGGGATGGGATGGCATGGCATGGGATGGGATGGGATGGGATGCGGTGCGATGGGATGGCATGGAATGGGATGGATGGATGGATGCATGGATGGATGCATGGATAGATAGTTAGATTTTTTGGGGTATTTTCCTTTCAACCAAGCGGTCACCAACTGAGTAACGCCACTGATTTCCCTGGGCAACGCCGGGTATCCCGCTAGTGTTGTATATAAAAACCAATTTGAAGTTTTTGCTGAAGACTAAGACACTAAATAACTAGAAACGAGCAGTTGTCGCCAACTACATGTATCCCCCGTGATCTAGTATGAATGGAATATCTCTGTAAGGACATAGAAGGCAGGTAAAGTTAAATAAGTCACACAGACAATGGTTTGTTAGACAACTGGTCTGCCTCAGATGTGCAAGTATATGGAATCTGGTTACCCTAGGAGGCCGAAGAGGAAATGTAAGTGGACGGTCAAGGTCAAACTAAGGTCAAGGGCAGTGGTGGTTTTGGTATGCGACAGACCTTCTCCCCAAGATGTGTAAGCATACCAAGTTTGGTCGCGCTAGGTCAATTAGGGGCTGAATTAGAGAGCGGAAGGGAAATATGATCAAGGTCATGCTTTACGCATCTCTGCGGCGGCAGCAGCGCGACGAGGCCAAATCCATAGTTTCGTTTGATTATGACAATGATTATAGTCTTGTTTTTATATGCCTCCTCTGTTCTGTTAGTTATTTTTGTGCACCACCTAGCGACACTTAGCATCATTAACGATTTTAAAATGGCATGAATTTAAGCTATTGCTTCTTACGAGTTTCAGTGGCCGTCTATGGAAACGAAACATGCAAGATGCTGTGTAGAGCGCCACCTGGCCACGGTAGATACACGTGCTGCACAGATGACAAGCATGTTCGGGAAACAGCCTGCGAACAGCTTCCAAATAACAAGCTCAGCATCGTTCACTTGTCCGGCGTCGGACAAGCAACCGGAAACAAATTGAAGGTGGAAGCATAATGCTCAAACCCTCTAATGATTAATGGGAAAACTATAAATTTTGTATTGCCCAAGTACTATAGTGGCATGATCAAGTCCCCTGATAGCAAACCTGTACAATTTTTGTACGCTTAAAACTATGTAAGGGTCGCTCAAGGGAAGCCAGGAAAGTGTTCTTTATAGACAGGTGAAATGTCCATTAATGCAGGTTAGACTTTCTAGTATACGTTCGAATGTGCCACTCTTGCGCGGTCCTCCTAACAGTCAAAGTGTACAATTTATGTAGTAGGTATGTACTAAAGCATGAGCCTTTACTCTTTCAGTGTTCTATTGAGAGGCTTGACAAGAGAATCGCAAAGCTGACGAAGGCGTGTGCTGACAAGGCCCTTCACATAGTTGTGCTTGCTGGGTCCCGTGATCCCAACAACATGAAGACTACTAACGGGCTGTGTCTCATTAAAGTCAAGAAGCCTGCCCATCTCTAGTGGTGTTGTGCAGGTATACAAGGGGGTGGGGTGTAGGTTTCTGTACAGTATGATTGTATAAAAGACTACATAACATACAAGAGCGAGTTAAGTTTGTATCGTCAAATTTCATGATTTATTTACGAATAATTTAACACTACTATACGGTTGAACTGTTTCGTGAAGAGATGCTAGGCGCACGTCTCTGAAGTGTAGACACCGATCTAATCTTGGCAAAGTGGAACCTTAACCACGTGATAATACTAGGAGATTTACTTTGGTACAATTTGCATCTTGCCACGAGACCTTTTCCCTGCATCCGAATACAGTTACAAAATACTGGCATAGAATAGGTCAATGGCGTTTCTCTGCTGCGTTTGTTTCTTACAAAATAATAGGTGCACGCACATTACTATAAAAGGCACACTATCTGCTGCTCATTAAAAGCGTGATTTCTAGTGATGCAGTCTCGTGGTAGTTCCTCTCATGTGCAGGCAGCCCAAAGAGTTAGCTTCTTAACATAATGTGACCTTGAGATGAAATTCAGGGACTTTAGGATAGGAAATTAACATGCAATTGGTTCTCCGTAGTTTTACTTTCTCACCCAACAAAGCACTGTGAAAATGAGCTCTTCCACTGGTGAAACAACCCCTCACAATGATCATTGCAAACGTGCATCTGAACTAGTAGCAACAGTCTCTCTCGCAGCACTCACACAACAATCCTTAATATACAGACTTAATATTTACATCTACGGTTTAAAATCATCAATACAATTTTGGTACTATGTCACAGTGCATTATCGGAGAGTAATTAAGTACAATGCTCTTAACGTGATAGCAGTCAGAAGTCATATGACTCATCGCGAAGTGTAACATAGGTGTACCCCTCACTCTGGCACTAAATATAGTGTATCTGTGACAAAACTGCACTTGGCAGCATACATCACCAGTTTAATTTGCTACCAAAATGTTTCAGCATAGAAACTATACATACGTGATGGCTACATGATACATAAATGTACACTTACTGTTTTAAATACAAGCGGTTAAATGGTTATGACTAGAAATACATTATATTTATCCTACTAATATTACATGCTGCAAGAAGTAGTGGGTATCACTGCCTTATCATTTTAATTATTTGAAGTTTACCTTTTCATGAAACTACAAGGTTTTTTGAGAGGGGTCTGATGACTGAGAAGTATATAATTGCCGAGTAGTTGCAAGACTACAGTTTGAGTGCATGCTACTTGCATTTATTGTGTCTATGCATTATCTTATACTACAACTTAAAAGCGATAGGGTATTAATGCAAGTATCCTGGTCGTATTATATCAGGAGTGTATGTAATAATATGTATGACATGATCAAAGCACAAAAAATTAAACATTTCCATGCCATAATTTACCTATGCTTTATTACGTGAAATCCAATAAAAATGACATCAGAACTAGCATTGTACATCCAACTTGCCCTCACACTACTTTGTTTCGATACCTCTTCTTACTATGTATTTCTCGCGAGGTCACATTGTAAAAACTGCCAAAATGTCGCCAAAACGAAAGCTTATTACGGATTATTTTATATAACCATGTCATACAATATCTTTTTATCTGCACTGCGCGCTGTGGCGTGGGTCAGCCAGCGGTCAGAGCCCGCTACTAGTTTGCGAGTTGCAAATCGCTGCTGAACTCCACCAACAGGTGTCGCAGAGCGAGCTGCCTCTTGTTCCCGCAATCGAGAGGAAATAATCCTTGAATAAACCTAAACCAATTTACCACGTCAATGACCAAAACCATGTCTGACGTTCGAAGCTATAACTACATAATAAGAAGAGGTATCAAATGCAAAGTAAAGTGTGAGGGCAAGTTGGATGTACAACGCTACTTCTGATGTCAGGTTTATTGGGTTTTGCGTAATAAATGGTAGGTAAATAAGGGCATGGAAATGTTAAATTTCTTGTATTTTCAGCGAGTCATACTTCTCTATTATTATGCACTGCTGATTATATAACACATCTTAACATTGCTGTGAAAGCGTACATAGGACTACGGTGGAACACATTTAACTGTTTTTTCTAATAGTTTAGAATGTAAATATCTACATTGATAAAGTTATTACAAGACAACCTTGACACAAGGTCATTCATGGTACAAGCAATTTCCAGGCTAGCACGCTGCTTTACTATTGCACTCATGTCAACTAACCTCATCCTCAGGATTTTAGGTAGACCATTATTGCCATTATGGACTTTCCATTGTATATTAACTTTACAAGCATGGTTTTTACTTGCTGCAGGTTTTGATGACATGGGTCGTGCTTTTCACGAAATCTAACATTCCACAGAAAAAAAAGACACAGATCAAACATCAGTCAAAACTGCCGATCTTGGATATCCTCAATTTTGCTAAGAAAAAATGCCAGGTTACAGCCTGTACTCCATGTGTTACCTAACGGTAACTACCCATGACATCAAACCTGCGAATAATCGCATGTTGTGCATATGTTACCTCTGCTGCCGGGTGAAGAGGCAGCAAGCTACAGGGCTCCCATGTTGCACGTGTTACTTCTGCATGAGTAGGCGAGGAGGCAGCGTGCTACAGCTTGTGGTCCATGTGTGAGTCAGCGACCGTGACGCCAGACACCATTCTGCAGAGCCAGTGTCCTGCGCCGCGCACCATTCTCTGCGGTATCGCACATGGCTGCAGCTTGGCCAGCACCGAACCAAACTGCTTGACGTAGTCCGTGTGATGGAGTTAAGGAAAACGTCAAGACCACGGTATCTATTAGAACACGGCTTCATGGCAGTCCTGTTATTTTAACACATCAAAGGTGCTCCGAAGTTTTTGCTAATAAGCCCTGTCACACTGCTGTGGATGTTTATAATGCAGGCATGAGAACAGGTTGAGATGTTTTTGGAGGGAATATTTCAATTTGTGCCGAAAGCACGATAGCAGGAGCTGCTGGGGGAACTCCTTTCCTGCTAGTGGGGTCTTCCAGGGGCATGCCTCCAGGGAATTTTTTAAATTTGGAAGTGCAGATAGACCATTTCCATGCATCCTGGGGGAAATTATAAGTCCATTCTGTTCTTAGTAAAATTCAATTTCATGACTAACAATTCAAAATTTCAATGTTTCATGTGGAGGCTAACTTATTTTGTCAAGGTTTACCACGATCTCGACGGTATGACAGCACATTCGCTACCGTTAAATATACAACACAGACGCCAACTGTGAGTCTTCTAGAGAATAGGGTAAATGTTGACAACTTTACCATGTTTACCATAATCTCAATCTGAGCGTGATGGGAATCTGACACCGTCGCTTAAACCATTGTCCCCGAGTTTTCGTACCCGTCAGAATTGGGTAAAACCCTTTACATTACAAAGATACACCATGATGTTTATCTGGAGTTCCGCTACTTCTGTGTGAAATTTGACGTACTTTTCCTGACTTCATGAAGTTTAAATGAAAAATGATAGCCATTTTGACAAGAAAATACACCCAAATCAAATCCTTAAATCTTTATTCCTTTTTTTGCATCAATCTCAAGAATGACCAAAATGAAAACCAAAACCAGGAAATCCACGAATCTGTGGAAAATTCTAATGCCTGATAATGTAATGATGAAGTTAAATTTAAATTGTGAATTTAATATCCAGCTGTACTTCGGAATACTTTTAACCCCACCACCATCAACAAGCACGTTTGTAACTGGAATGCAATCTTCCACAAATTAGATCACCGTCATTATTCGTAACGTAGTGTGGCTGTTGACGCTCAAAGGATATATGAAGCTCCAGGGAGGCTGCCCACCATTGATGTACAGTGCGTAACTGAATCCGTCTTTGGAAACTCCCTGCAGAACAGTAAGTTACGAGAATAAACATTTAGGGCATTTGAGCAATAACTGAACTCTTCTATGTACCAGTTAGTCACACGATCACCTGACAAGCACGCGTGTAGCGAATGCCTGGACCGCCGCTACAAGATGAAGATTGCCTATCACAACCCCACGTGGCTCAGTGCACCAGATAGCATGCGTATTTGCGTAAAATACGCATTGGAAAAACCTATTTACGCGTGCATGTTCAAAACAGTACAATTCTTTTCAAAGTATGCGTACTGTTTGCTTTCACTTTCGGAACCTAACTGGTTCTAGACAGGCGACAGTTGTAAGTCATTTCCGGGAAACAAACTTTATTGTTCGAAAATCACTCGGCATTTTCCGTAATCGCAATCATGAAAATGAACGAGTGTTCCATTGGAATTAGTTCGTATGTAGTAAGCAAGCCAATTTTTCATTGGGCGACTAAGCATGTATGGTTAGCCATCGTACCTACAAATAATTATTCACTGCCGTAAAATTATAACCCTTTTAGCAAATGATAAGCCTTGTTACACGTCACACATTTGGCATAAGCATGAGCAGCCAATCAGAATACACTACAGTTCTAAATATCCTGCAGCGTTTCTGAGCAATAATTTTGCAATAAACCCTTTAAGGACCTAAATCATGAAAACTTTTTGAATGAGTTTTTCTAAAGTTTTCTAATATATTTGTTTACTGCATGTATGCAACATGTGGCTTGTATCTGAATTTTATTTGTCTACTAACCAACACCAGCAAAAAGTGTACCAGAAACAAACAATTTGAACACAACAACACGACATACCTGTATAGAGTAGTAGTAGGGCAAGTAGCAATGTTGAGTGAAGTAACGTCTCTCGTAGAAACGAATTGCCGTCTTGTTCGTGCAGAGCACATGCAAATAGATCGCTTTACAGTTTGAACGTTCGGGACTAGACAGGTAGGAGATGAGATTGTCGAGCAATAGGGAAGCTGAAAATCCAACAGAAAAATAGTCAGGTTCTGCGTAGCCACCAAGTGTAAATAACAAAGCCAGGCATGGATCATCGCGAGTAAATATTCTCAAAGAAGTTTCACATGTATTTTCTTGCGTTTTGGAGCAATTGTCGCTAACTAGTACAGTAAAACTCGCGTAAGTCGACATCGTCTAAGTCGTCAATTCGCGTAAATCAACAAGGAAGTCAAAGTCCCGATTCGCTCTCATAGTAAATCCATTGGAATAGCCCCGCCTAAAGCCGGGCGCACACATGGCGACAATGCAACCATCTGTCAGCAACATACCACTGTATGAACTGTACGTGACCTGTTCAAAATGGAAGCGCCCATTGACACCACGATAGCCATTCTTCAAGTTATTGGAATATATTTAATAATTATGCGTCGGCGTCGTCGACTGACAGCAGCGAGAGAGAGACGTACGTGGGTGCTGCGACGTGATTCGCGTGGTGTTTTTAATAATTTAGTAAGAGAACTGGAGCTTGAAGATTCAGTGACGTACCAGCGTTATTTTAGAATGAAAAAAGAACATTTCAATGCAATTCTGACACTGGTAGGGGCAAGGATAAGCAAGAAGAACACAGTTATGCAGAAATCCATTGCACCAAACGAACGTTTAGCATGTGGAAAACGAACGTGGGCGCTGCCATATTTGATCGCGTGCTTCAAATCATGCATTTGATTGGTTAATCCAAAAACTGTTGCCTGAATCTGTCGCCTGGTCAGCGCACACGTAGCGATTGTTCAGCGACTTGGCAATAAATATCAAACGTGTTTGATATTCCAGCGACGAGTTTCTGGCGTCAAAATCGCCATTGCCGTGCAGCGCACACGTGGGTGGCGATTTCTCGGCAATTTTGTTGCCAGTAGTGTCGATAAAAATCGCCACGTGTGCGCTGGGCTTAAGTCGACATTTACAAGTCGTCATTATGTACAAGTCGACGCCCTCAGACAGGTCCCATGTAATACAAACAACAGTAATTTTTTAAGTCGACATCGGAAATGCCGGTTGCGCAGTGTAGGGTCTAGGGAATACACGCGCTGGCTGTCGCAGACGGATTGTTTGAATCGCATTGTTCGCTTGGACGCATTGTATTTTTAGCTCATCTGACATAGTCAGATGCAGCTTGTAGAATCGCATGATCGTCCGTCCGTCCGTCCGTCCGTCCGTGCGTCCGTCCGGGCGTCAACAGTTGGGCACAAATCTTAACCGCTCGACGTACGGTCACGATATTCGGGTCGTTGGGGGGGATTGTCAAAAAACGAGCTTGGGAGTGTGCGAGGCCTGGGGGGTCATAAGGTCAAAGGTCAAAGGTGTAAAAGAAGGGGGAGAGCATTCACTCCTAAAATTAAGGTATAGTTGATGAATGCAGAATTGCGGCATACAAAATCCTATAAGCGGCTCGCCTAGGCTCGTGCTAGTCCGGTGTTATATGCAATGCATGGTAGGAAAGCCATCACTGTGCACGACAATTGGATGGTCACGTCAAAGGTGCATGGGCACAGGGCAGATTTGATTAGACATTGTTTCTTGAGGACATGGTTCTGACGGAGCGATGAAATAACTTTTTTGTTTCAGCCGGTGGACTACGCCATTTTAATGGCTTGTATGTGAAGTAGGACCAATGAAATGTCCCTTCTGCTGACAGCCCTAAAAGAGGTAAGTGTCTGATAACTTTTGACCGCTCAAGAGGAGGTTTAACATGGATTCTGTGACTGTTAACAAAAGGAGTGATACTGCTTTTGCTAATTTAAAGAGCCCCTCCCCGCCACCCTCCACCACCGCTCCCACCACCCGGCCCCCCCTCCCCCACCCTCGCCCCACCCTCACAATCTGCGATAGTGGGCGTGTCCTAACAAATGATGTGTACCAAGCTGCGGTTCTGCATATCTGGCGCCTACAAATGTGGGTACTACGGCACTGACTGAAATATTTAAGTTTATAATCGTAGCAACAGACCTCAGATGAGCCCAGACGCTCTGCGGCTCTTGTTTTTCTAGCTCGCAGCTCGCACACCCCCAGATTCCCCACTGTATACAGTGTATTATATAGTGTATATAGTGTATGCAGCCCAATGCAGGGTGCGAAATTATCGCGAGTCCGGATCGAGTCAAATATTCCCTGATTTACTGTTGGAATCCCTGATTTGACATATGCAGGAGTCCGTGCGACTCCCTGAAAATTAATTCTGCTATACAGTACTAACCAGTTCGTTCCAGAGCACAGCCTCGCGGAATTACCGTATTTTTTTCAGCAAGTGTTCCAAGAAAATTCGGCAGACGTGCACCGCAAATGTCCTGCTACGCAATGCAGCTAATACAATGTATACGCGTTTTTCGTCAGTTTCGTAAGTCACCACAAATATTCTGGTCCCAAAAGTGTCGACTTATGCGAGTTTTATTGTATCGCTGAAAAATATGCCTCCATAGATGTGACAATGTGCCCAAAAGCCTCTGAATCAAGCCTCTGAATCAGCCTCTGAGTTTGAATACAATTTACAGCAATTCTAAGATCGGTAAATAATAATGGTACGAAATAAGCTCAATAACATATACATTTTATTTATGTCCAAATTTAAAGTGAAAATTCGGTAAAAACGAAGGAAAATATGCATGTCAAACTCCTTTAAGACTATCTACCTCTCCTGATATCATAAGTCCACAACGTTTATGAATTATTAAATCAGGATTCATAGCTAATGAACATTATAAAAAACATGCAATTTTATCATTGTTGTCATTACTGTTGTGTATTTCAATTCATACCACTATGGTTTAATATATATTGCACAAAAAATATTCAAAAGCATTAAAATGCTTACCAATGCCATGTCTTCTGTAATCTTTAACAACACCAAGGCTTAGTATGTATGCTACCTGAGTGCCACTTGGGAAACTATTTGCTAATAGATCCTGATCCTAAACATTAAAACAATCTATAGCAAGTTTTTTTTAAATAAGATCTGTAATTTAAACAGTACCTGTTTTTTTCAGCTCTACAGAATATATGAAAACATGTAATTTTCATTCAATTCCCTGAAGACCTGCATGGGGCTCGTTGTCAGAAACAAAATTAGTTAGTCTTAACATTACCTTGAACTTGTAAACCGTTGACAGAAACATCGTAAAGTTACGAGAATGAAAAATCCCAGCAAATTTCCTCTTAACGTTACGAGAGCCCAGACCCTCTTATAACTTTAAGATTAAGATGAAAATAATGTATTTACACAAAGAATTCTCGTAGGTAGAGGATTGCAGTGATGATGAGATTGCTGTTTGTCATGATTGTGTAAACCCAAACAAGAGATTTAATTCATGTAGATTCGTTTTATTTAGGAAACGTAGCTGAGCAGAACACGAGATTACAAACCGCCATGCCGAACCCCCGTAGCTCCCCCTGGCTCTCAAATATCTAACTAAAAGATAGACTCTCCTACAGGGCGCTACCGTCATTAATCATTATGACATCTCCTTTCCTTTGAGATAAACATGCGAGCACATGCAAACTAGCGACCTCGCTTTACAGTGTTGAACCGTTCGGGCACTAGACCAGGTAGGGAGATGAAAGATTGTCGAGCCCAATACGGCAAGGCTGAAGGAATCCAACCACGAACAAATAGTCAGTTTCTGGGTAGCTCACCAAGTGTAAATTAACACAAGCCAGGCATGGATCATCGCGAGTGGCCCCCCCCCCGCCCGGTAAAATACTTCCTTCAAAGAAGTTTCACTGTATTTTCTTCGCTTTGCGAGCAATGCTCGGCGGAAACTAGTACCGCACGTAAAACTCCGCGCTAAGTCGGACATCCGCTCTAAGTCGTCAACTTCGCGGCGCGTAAGTCAACATGGACAGTCAACAAGTCCGCCGATTCGCCTCTCATAGTTAGTTCATTGAATGAGCCGCCTAAAAGCCGGGCGCACACCATGGCGACAACTGCCACCCATCCTGCTCAGCAACATACCATGTATGTACAACTGTACCGTGACCCGTTCAAAATGGAAGCGCCATTGACACACATAGCCATTCTTTCAAGTTTATTTGGATAGATCAATAGTATGCGTCGGCTGTCCGTCGGACCGGCACAGCAGCGAGAGCAAACGGTACGGTGGCTGCTGCGAACGTGACCTTCGCGTGGTGTTTGTAATAAATCTGTAGTAACGCAGAACTGGAGCCTGTTGAAGATCCAGTACCGTTTACAGCGTTATTATTAGAATGAAAAAAAAGAACATTTCAATGCAACTTCTGCACCTGGAGGGCACAGGAATATAAGCAAGAAGAGCACAAGTTATGCGACAATCATTTGCACCAAACGAAACGTTTAGCATGGTGGAAAACGAACGGTGGGCGCTGCCATATTGATCGCTGATGCTTCAAATCATGCATTGGATTGGCTTAATCCAAAAAACTCGGTTGCCTCGCAATCTGTCGCCTGGTCACGCACACGTACGATGTTCAGCGACCTTGGCAATAAATATCAAACGTGTTGCGATATCAATCCAGCGATGTAGTTTCTGGCCGTCAAAAGTCGCCACTTGCGCTCGCTGCAGCGCACACGTCGCGCGATTTGCTCGGCGATTTTTTGCTCAGGCCAACAAAATCGCCAGTCAGTGTCGATAAATAATCGCCCACGTTGTGCGCTGGGCTTAAGTCGACATTTACAACGTCGTCATTATGTACAATCGACGCCCTCGACACAGTCCATCGTAATTACAAACAACAGTATTTTTGAAGTCGACAATCGGAAATGCGGTGCTTGCCGCGAGTCCTGCTAGGGTCTAGGGAATACATGCGCTAGCGCTGTCGCAGACGCGATCTGTTTGAATCGCATTGTCTCGCTGACGCATTGTATTTTTCCAGCTCCGCAGCATCCGCACACCCCCAGAGTCCCCACTGCGTATACAGTGTATTATATAGTGTACTATGAGGTGTATGCAGCAACTTTGACAGGGCGTGCCGAAATTAACGCGAGTCCGGCTCGAGTGTGTCCCTGTGATTTACTGTTGGCAATCCTGATTTGGACATATGCAGGAGTCGTGCGACTCCCTGAAATTAATTCTGGTATGACAGTATAACCAGCTTCGTTCCAGAGCACCTCGGTCCTCGCGGATACCTCGAATTTCTTGTTCCAGCAAGTGCGCTTGTTTCCGCTTCCAAGAAATTCGGCAGACGGTGCCCACGCACAAATCGTCCTGTACGCAAGGCAGCTAATACAATGGATACGCGTTTTCGTCCAGTTTCGTACACTCACACAAAAGCTATCTCCGGTCCCAAAAGTCTCGACTTTATGCGGAGTTTTACGTGGATCGCCTAAAAAATATGCCTCCCATAGAATGAGACAATGTGCCGCAAAAGGCCTCTGAATCAAGCCTCTGACATCAGCCTCTGAGTCTTGAATACAATTCCAGCAGCACATTCCTAGATCCGCGTAAATAAGAATGGCTACGAAATAACGCTCGAATAACATATACATTTTATTGAGGTCAAACTTAAAGTGAAAACTTCGGCTCCCGTACAAACGAAGGACAACACTGATGCAGTGTCAAACTCCCTTTAAGCTATCTACCTCTCCTGACTATCACTACGTCCATCTAACGTTTATCGAATTATAAAAACGTGGACTCAGCGAGCATAGCTACCGAGAACATTATTACAAAAACGATGCCAACTTTTATCATTGGTGTTCATTACGTCGTGTATTTCAAATTCATTACCACTATGGTTTAATATACCTATTGCACAAAGAATATTCAAAGCAACATAAAATGCCGCCCTTACCAATGCCACTGTCTTCTGTCATCTCTTAACTAACAGAAGCCGCTTAGTATGTATGCTACCTTCGAGTGCTCACTTGGGAAAAACTATTTGCTAATACGATCCTGCCACTCAAACATATAACAAGCGATGCCAAGTCTTTTTTTAAAATAAGGATCGTAATTTAAACAGACTGTTTTTTTCAGCTGTACAGAATAGTATGAAAACATGTAATTTTCATGTCAAATTCCCGTGAAGACCGGCCCATGGGGCTCGATGTCTCAGAAACAAAATTAGTTAGTCTTAACACTAACCTTCGTTGCTTGACTAAACCGTATGACAGACACACACTCGTAACGTTCGCAGAGAATTGGAAACAATCCCACGCAATTCCTTCTGACGCTTACCGCCGAGCCTCAGACCCCCTCTTCTAACCTTCTGAACGACTTAGCATGCAAACTAACTGCTTATTACACACACAGAATTCTCGTAGGTAGAGGAGTGCCAGTGCATGACTGAGCATCTGCCGCCTCTGTCAGGATGGCTGTAAACCCAAACAACCGAAGATTTACAGCTCACGTAGATTCGTTTTATTTAGGAAACGTAGCGCGCCCGAGCAGAACACGGACGATCACAAACGCCCGGCCAGTGGCCCCCGTAACCCCCGTAGCTCCGCCCTGTGCTCTACAAATATGCTAGCCTAAAAGCATAGACCAGCACTCTCCTAGCCACTGCGCGCGCCGCCGTACCCATCACCTTAATCATTATGACATCTCCTTGCTTTGAGTCCCATAAACTCCGTCATCCTATCAGCGCATGAATGTCTCCTTGCCAACTGACAACACGACGTTAACTTCTTCAACCGATGCTAACCCAACACGACACTTAACACTAATTCAGACCAGCCAGGGAGAGGGCGTGGGCGCGCCACGGTGCTCGGACTTCAGATCCCAGGGATTTTCTGCCCTTACGCGGCATCCCGCGAGTCGCCCTTAAACCTAACCACTTGTAGCGATCGCTCGATGTGAGAGGTCATCGGTCGCCATAGGTTGCTTGCCCTTGACACCTCAGATGGGCGGAAGCGTGTAGCTGCATCTTCCTGCGACTCCCGGACATTGTCTGTCCTGGCAGCAACTGTTGCCCGTAAACCGGTTGTTCTCATAAAACACACCGGTTCCTCTCGCTTGCCGCACAACACTACTCGCTTGCTGGTGTGGCTGGAGGTGGCTGGTTTAATTCCTGCCCCCTACCGGTGTCACGTGGCGGTCGTCCTTGTTATAATTCCGCATTCGTCCATGCCGCTTCCTGAATCCGACCCTGTCAGGATCGCCGTTGTTGTCCGTGCACCCACCACCGATAACTGTCTCCCACACTTGTTCCACCGCCCTTCTCCCCGTCGCTCCAGCTTCCCCGTCCAGCTGCCCAACTGGCCACTGACAGGGTGACCCCGGTCAGTCATCTCGAGCACCTTTCCTGGCATCTAATACCTCTTTGTACGTGGCTTTAGCTGATTTCGTAAGCCACTGAGCGCCGCATGGCTGCTGCGTATCTGGAACCTTTGGGCAGTAGATTACTCGCTCAGTATCGGCCAAGCTGGCTCTCCGTCCCTGCTCAGCCCATTCAGCCCGGAGACACCCGTAGCTGAATTGCGCAGCATGGCTTTATAGTCAACATCCACCTCTCTGGAC